TTTTCTTTCTTTTTTTTTTTTTTTTTTTTGGTTTTGAGTTTTTCGAGACAGAGTTTCTCTGTATAGCTCTGGCTGTCCTGGAACTCACTCTGTAGACCAGGCTGGCCTCAAACTCAGAAATCCACCTGCCTCTGCCTCCCAAGTGCTGGGATTAAAGGTGTGCGCCACCACTGCCCGGCATCTTTCTTTTTTTAAAAGAAAAATTTTGATAGTATAGTGATATTTTATTCTTCATTTGAACTTTAACATAATTTTTTGATGTCCTTTTTCTTCTAACACAATTCTTATTTGAGAAACCCCTTTAAGTTTTAATTAAAATAATAATAACTAAATTAAAAATATTTTTTAAAATTATAATAACTTAAAATTTTAATAGTATTTTGTTGGGTGCCTGGAAATTAAAAATTTTGAAATAATTACATTTTTTTAAGGTGTGGCAAATTGTGTGTTGGCTCTTGGGTTTGAGAAGATGGAGAAGGGATCCCTTGGAACAAAAGTGAGTAGTTTATAGTTATTTTGGAATTGTTTTAACATTATGAGAAAACTGTCCATCTGACTGTCATAAATATAATTGGTTAGTAAGCAACATAAAGTTTGATTTGATGTTTAAAGATACATATATTTTAAGATTTATGTGTGTACGTGTGTATATGCCTCTCTGTGTGTATGTGTGTGTGTGTGTGCTTGTATGCTGCATGCGTGTGTTTGGGTCCCTCAGAGGCCATAAGAGGGTATGAAATCCCCTGGATTTGGAATTATCTGGCCTTACAATGTGGCAGGTAACAGAATTTGAGTTCTCCAGAAGAGTAGCAAGAGCTCTAAACTGCTGAGCCATCTCTCCAGCTCATGATTTGACATTTTATTTCATGATTACAGGGTCTCCTGAAGCCCAGACTAGCCTCAAACTCACTTTGTAGTTGAGGATGCTCTTGAACTTCTGACTCTCTTCTCTCCAGGCAGGTTCCTTGTTACTTTAACAAAAACAACTTGCTGTTTTGTGTCCGGACCTTATGCAGGTCTCTGACTGACTGAGGTTCAGCCTCCTGCTTGGCCTTCATTCTGTTTTCTGTTTGTCTGATTTATCTCCTTCAGATCACGTAGTACTACTTCCCACTCTTTAGGTATGCTCTGCACAAAAGCCACAGTTCCTTCTCAAGGAAGCAAGAGTTACTCTTTTGAGCAGGAAGGAGAGCCTGTTGGTGTGCTGGCTCAGTGGGCTGCCAAGCCTGCTGATCTGAGGGTGATCTTATGGTAAGAAAGAACTGATTCCTGCAAGTTGTCATCTGACCTTTGTTGATGTGCCCTGGTTTGCTCATGCACACTCACCCCCACCCCACACACCAAGTAAATATGCTTTTAAGGAATGCTTGCTTCACTGAGAGAACTAGTTGCAGCAGTTGGAACTTGCAGTGGTCCACTGGCACATTTTACTATTGAGTACAACTGAATTTTAAATTTAATTTTAATTAATTTGAAGTTAAATTAATACTCTGTTCCTTATTGAAAAACTTTTGAGTGAATTTGGGATAACTTAGGCCTGTAAATCTATGTATTTGTTTATTTATTTATTTATTTTTAAAGATTTATTTATTTTATGTATATGAGTACACTATCACTGTCTTCAGACACACCAGAAGAGGGCATCAGATCCCCTTACAGATGGTTGTGAGCCACCATGTGGTTGCTAGGAATTGAACTCAGGACCTGTGGTAGAGCAGTCAGTACTCTTCACCACTGAGCCATCTCTCCAGCCCTGTAAATCAACTTTTAGAACTATAATTTTTATGAAATATAAATGTAATGAGCATGAAATATTCCCAGTGAAAACTGATTTATAAATTGGGATGTGTCTTAGGTATAAAATATATGCAGTATTTCAAAGACTTAATTTGATAAAAGAATATAACTCAGGAGGCAGAGGCAGGTAGATCTCTTGTGAGTTTGAAGCCAGCTTAGTCTATACCGTGAGTTCCAGGACAGCCAGGGCTCACCCTGCCTGAAAAAAGTAAAATATCTCCCATTCTTACATTGATTACTTGTTGAAATGAATGTTAATATGTTTTTTAAGTAAATAAAATATATTAAAGTTTTTCAAAATTATATTTGTGAAGGTGGGGAAAAGTACATTGTTGGGATGGTTGCTCAGAGGTCAGTGGCTATGGTGGCATTCCTTGCAGGAATCAGTTCCCTCCTTTTATTATGAGGTTCCCAGGAATTAAACTCAGTTGGCAAGTGCCTTTACTCCCCACCCCCCCTGTACCCGAGCCCAGCCCCATCAAGGTTTAATTGGAGTTTTAGGTAAAAGCCTAGACTCCTCCAGCTACAGTGGTCCCGGCTGGGTGATGGACCCTCCACATACCACTTACACAGATGAGTAGTGAGGGAAAGTGGAGAGATTTATTCAACAAGGCCACACCGGGACGAGGAAGAGATCAAAAGATGCCGGCACCTCAAGTCCATCTTCAGGGTGCTGCCAGGATTCTTAGTTGTAAACAGAGGGCAAGAGGTTTACATAACTAAGCAGCTCTGGAGGACGTGTGCCTGCCCATCATCTGTCCTGCAGCATGGTCCCAAGGTGCTTCAATGACATTCTTTAAATATTTTTGTTAGTGTATGTGAGTGTGTGTGAGTGTATGTGTATGTATGTGTGTGTGTGTGTGTGTGATGCATGTGTGGGAGGGTGGGTGTGCACATGCCATGGTTTAGGTTTGGAGGTTAGAGGACAACTTTCAGGCATTGGGTCTCTCCTTCCCAGGTGGGTTCTGGGGATTGAACTCAGGCCGGCAGATGCTATGTTATCCTTATCTGGCTTAGCTCTGCATCTGAAATCCCCAGTTACACTCCTGCTCTGGGTGTCTGTTCTCACTGCCCCATCTGCCCAGACTGTTCTTTCTTTAGCCCTTCACAGCCCCACCTAAGCTTCTGACTGTTGTCATGAGCTCTGGTTTCCCACTCAGTTTTTATCTATTCTGGGTTTATAGAATCATATTTGCAGATTGATTGAGTCTCCTCGTTTGTCCCTCTCTCCCCAATCCGAATGCCTAGTGAACAGAACCTTAGGCTGGCATGTTCACACCTTTATTCTCTGCATTTAGTTACAGCTAAGTAGTGGAGAGTGGAGGCTTGGTAAACCTGTTTTTTGTTTTTTTTTTTTTAATTAATTAATTTATTTATTTATTTTATTTATTTTTCGAGACAGGGTTTCTCTGTATAGCCCAGGCTGTCCTGGAACTCACTCTGTAGACCAGGCTGGCCTCGAACTCAGAAACCCGCCTGCTTCTGCCTCCCAAGTGCTGTGATTAAAGGCGTGCGCCACCAACGCCCGGCTGGTTTTGTTTTTTTAATTCACTGGGTAGAGAGATAGCTCATTAGTTAGGAAGTACTGCTACTTTCCCTGAGGACCTGCATTTGATTCCCAGCATCTACATGGTGGCTCACAACCATCTGAGATCACTAGGCACATATAAGGTGCACAAACATACATGTAGCCAAAATACCACCCATAGTTATAAATATTTTAAAATCCCAAGAGAAATGTTTAAATTCACACTTATTGTGTGCGTGTGTTCCCATGGCGTGGTGTGAAAGATGATGTCCAAGGACTACTTGCTGGGTCTGTTGTTCAATCATGTAAGCACCAAGGGATTAAACTCAGGTCATCAGCCCCTGTGGGAAGAGCCTTTACCCACTGACCCGTCTCTCTGGCTGTGGAAACATCTCTTAAAAGAATTAATAAGCCAAGCACAGTGATCTCGGCACTGGGGAGGCAGAGGTAGTCAGGTCTCTATGAGTTCTACATAATGAGTTCCATGACAGCCAGGACTATATAGAGAGTCCCTGTCTCAAAAACAAAAACTGGGAGAAAGAAAAAAGAAAATATCAAGTAGATATTTGTTTTAGAAACATTTAATCTAAAAATTGGGGTTTCTGTCCCGCCATGGATCAGTTCAGTTCCCGGATAAAAGACACACAGCACTTGTGTTTATGATAAGCCTTTAGTACACTAGAGCTGGGCAAATATCTACATTCCAGGTTATTAGAATCTACCTCCCCATCAATAACCCCAAGTTATAACTTGCCATGTTCCATCTGAGCTGCTCTTAACTCTGATTGGCCAGCCCTCACGGCCATGTTTTCGTGACTCACCTACCCCAAGGCAACTTCTCTCCTCCTCATGGTCTTGGTCTCTCCTCCCTTTCACTTCACCCTCAACCAGATAACTCCAAACCCACCTACCTCTAATCCCTCCAGAAATTGGCTGTTGCCAATTTTATTTAACCAGTAGTTTTAAATTAAGGAACAAGGTTTACACAACAAAAGCTTGTAAACATAATAATTCACTAGCAGGCCTAGACATCCCAGTATAGAATTTAGCATTACAATACATAGCAGCAGACCAAACCTCAACACACACGCACACACATCACAGACCCCCCCCCCAACTTCTTTTGTAAGGAAGAGGTTCATGACGGCCCTGCTTCTGGTACTAGCACGTTGGGGATTAGATGTATGTATGTATGTATATTTGTTTGTTTAGAGAGACAGGGTCCTGCATGTCTCAAACTGGCCTCTGACTTGCTATGTAACTAAGGCTTAAGTCTTAAACTCTTGACCTTCCTGCCTCTACCTCCCAAGTGGTGGGGCCACTGTACCCATATTTTCATGTTTTCCTGCTACAAAGTATTTCTTGATGATTTTATTCACATTGCCCATTTTGGTTTACGGTGCTCTCAGGATAAGCAAATGTCTTGACAATAGTGACTATATACAGAGTCCCTATCTCAAAAACAAAAACTGGGAGAAAGAAAAAAGAAAAAAAAAATCAAGTAGGTATTTGTTTTAGTAACATTTAATCTAAAAATTGGGGTTTCCGTCCCGCCTTGGATCAATTCAGTTCCCAAGTTGTAAGAGTTGCATTTATGTCAGCTGCTCATTAAATTTTATTTTTCTCTCTAAGTATTCAGATCGGACTCATCCAATTGACAAACATCTTGATATCTTGATCAATAAGCATGGATTATCTGCCCATCCAGTTGCTGCTCAGCTGTTTGGGTCTGCTGGGAAAGAACATATGGAAAAATATGGTATGTTAAAAAAACACCGTTTAGAGAAGTGGTTCTTAACCCGGGGGTCTCAGCCCCTTGGGGGAAGTCAAGCAACCTTTTCCAGGGATCACCTAAGACTATCCTGCATGTTAGATATTTACATTATGATTCATAACAGCAGCAAAATTACAGTTATAAAGTAGCAACAAAACTAATTTTATGCTTGGGGGTCACAATACCATGATGAACCATATTAAAGGGTCACAGCAGTAGGAAGATTGAGAATCCCTTCTTTAGAGGCGGCGTGATGGCTCATGCTAATTTCAGCACAGAAGCATTTGAATCACCTTGAGTTCAAGGCCAGCTTGGTCTACATAATGAGTTCTAGGTCAGCCAAGCATGTATAGTGAGATCCTGCCTCAGAATAACAACAAAAACACCACCTTTCAGGCTTATTACTACTTATGTTCATGCAATAAGAAGCAGCAGGTATTTGTTAGGACATGGGAAGATATTGGGACATTTAAGATATAAAATATTTTTGAAAAGATTTATTTTTATTTTTTTATGGGTGTGGTGTTTTGCCTGTGTATCACATGCATGCCTTGTACCCTTGGAGGACAGAGAGGCATCAGATCCTCTGGATCTGGAGTTATGAGTGATTGTCACCTACTACATGGGTGCTGGGAATTGAACCTGGGGCTATACAAGCCCTCTACCAACTGAGCTACGTTCACAGATCCCCTCCCCTGCCTCTTTTGTGAGGCCCTGCTCCTGATACTAGCACCTCGGGGATTAGACTCCAGCATGGGAGGGTTGGAGAGATGGCTCAGCGGTTAAGATTTCAGCATGAGATGTTGGTCAGGACACCAGCATTCCGTTCACTGCCTCCCTCCTGTAGAGGCCCTGTCTCCTAGCCATTGAGGCCAGGCTTTCAACATTAGCGTTTAGGAGGGGGGCGGTAATAGGAGTATCTTTGAGGTCCTTTGATAATGTTACAGATGAGGGCTTAATACCTCACTGGGAAGTGGAGATCCTGTGAGAACAGCCGATTCCCATCTGTGAGTCAGTAACTGTCACTGTGTAGCAAGGAGGGTCTTTTTCAGTTGTTTATGTATCTGCGTCCACGGGTGCTGCTGACAGGTGTCTGCAGGACCTTGCTCATGCCGGCTCTACTCTTCTTCCCTTACAGCACTGGAGATTGAGTCCACCAGCCTGGCTTTTGTCTTCACTATAATAACAGGAAGACATGCAAGCCATGCTGCTAATACCCGTTTTCCAGTTAGGTTAGGCTTGCTAACGTTGTAGGCTCAGTCTGAGCAAGTCAGACTGTTATAAGTTGCTGGTAGACATGTAAACGGGAACCTAGCAATTTTCCTTCCATGAATACCTTCTGGGTTTACCTGCAGCATATGGAAGGTGTTTGTATGTGGTTGATCTCATAGTGCTGTGTGTGGAAGACTGTAAATAACCCTGATTCTTCAGTCGAGCGATGGGTTATCTTGGGTGTTTTTTTTTTTTAAATCTACTTTGCAGCCGGGCAGTGGTGGTGCATGCCTTTAATCCCAGCACTTGGGAGGCAGAGGCAGGCGGATTTCTGAGTTCGAGGCCAGCCTGGTCTACAGAGTGAGTTCCAGGACAGCCAGGGCTACACAGAGAAACCCTGTCTCAAAAAAAACAAAAACAAAAAATATACTTTGCAAATAAAGTTATAAAGACTTTTGCAACAAATTGTTTGAATGTCATAAATACTTTGTTTCCTCACTTCCTAGATAATGAATGTGACCAGATTACAATTTTGTTTGTGATGGATGATATTGATGATGATGACGATGATGATGATAGTGGTGGTGATGGTGGTGGTGATGGTGATGGTGGTGGTGATGGTGGTGGTGATGGTGGTGGTGGTGATGTGGAGGTGGTGGTGGTGGAAGTGGTGGTGGTGATGATGGTGGTGGTGATGGTGGTGGTGATGTGGAGGTGGTGGTGGTGGTGATGTAGAGGTGGTGGTGGTGGTGGTGATGGTGGTGGTGGTGATGTGGAGGTAGGAGGCAGCTTTTGGGAATCAGATCTCACCCACCACCTTGTCAAGACAGGGTCTCTCTTCCTGCTTCTGGCCTGCACTGTGTACTCCAGGATAGTGGTCCTGAGGCTTGTGGATGATTCTCCTCTCTCTGTCTCCCATCTCTCCATAGGTCCATTGTGATTACAGATATGTGCTACTGCATCTAGATTTTTAACTAGGTCCTGCACATCAAACTCAGGTCGTAAGCCTTGTGTGGCAATCTCTTGTCCCCACAGAGCCATCTCCCTAGCCCAACAGCTTACACATTGAAACTGTTCATGGTTGTCAGCTGAGAGGCCATCAGTTTGGAGGATAGTGTGACTCACCTTTCGACTTATGAAGAGCTGTTGCTCTGGTGGTTCTCTCCTCTCTCTCTCTCTCTCTCTCTCTCTCTCTCTCTCTCTCTCTCTCTCTCTTTCTCCCTCCCTCCTTTCCTGTTTCCCTTCTTCCCTCCCTCCCTCTTTCCTTCCTTCCCTCCCTCCCTCTTTCCTTCCTTCCTCCCTTCTTCCTCCCTTCCTCCTTCCTCTCTCCCTCTCCCTCTCTCTCTCTCTCTCTCTCTCTCTCTCTCTCTCTCTCTC